AAAGAAGACCCTTCATTTCCTAATAGATGGCACTCAGATCCTTCAAAGATCTTCCTGGTAAAAGAATTATAAAAGTTCTGAAACAAATTTAAAAAGAAAATGAAAGGATGAGTGATTGAACTGGTGGAAAAGTAAGTAAAATCTATAATGTCTACAAAGGTAAAAAGAGTGAACAAATTCTGAAACAGATCATCATAGGTAAGTGAAAGTGTCAGCCCATGTTTTGGATTTTTCTGGACTTTGTACAAAGTAACAAAGCAGTTCAGTGTTCATACACAGTGGATAATTTGTGTTGCTTGTAGATATATTGAGCCTGAACCAGGAAAAACCATCTCTCTCAAAACTCAAATAAGAAATATAAATCTTCACAAAAGAAAGATAAATGTGGACACTTGCCTCCTTGATTGAAAATGAGTGCAAGAAAAACAAAACAAAACAAAAGTTTCCTCTAGGATTTTTTTTTATTTAAAAATAGATGTCAGAAAACCAGAGAGGCTGAATTTCATGATTTCTTTAAACAGGGACTCAAAGCCTGGAATTTTAAAAATCAGTGGCTCATTGGTGGACCTGGAGGGCAATAGGAAGCTGAACCCCTGTCCTTAAAAAAGGCACAACAATCAGCCCTGCAGGGAAGCAGCAGTTTGAAAACACCTGACGTGGGTTGGAGCTAGGATGGCAGAGAAGGAGGGGGACCTGGGTTTTCCTCATCCCTGGAACACAGCTGTATTGATCACTTGAAATACCCAGGAAATGGATCTGAGTATTTGAAGAAGGATTTCCATGTTTGGAGGGATACAATGTGGCAGATGGAGGTGTGTGGAAGTGAGTTAGGGGAGAGAGCTGCCCTGCTTCACAGGGGAGGGAACTCTTTGCATAGGGAAAGTTAAGAGAAGGAGAGGTTGAGAGAGGAGATGTAGGGTTCACAAAAAAAGAAAACCTATTGGACCACAGACTGGGGAGTTGGGGGAGCTGAGTGGCACAGGTTTTTTACAGTGATCATAGCTCAAACTCTGAGCTTTGGGAAGTGTTATACTTTCCCCAGAATGGAGCTGTAGTGAGTGCTCCAGGTGAGAAGGAAAACTTTGGATGGGGAGCAGGAACAATGTGGTGTAGGGTTCTCATGGGTCACACTGGGAGAGATTGTTCCCCTTTCTGGATTACATATACTGTCTCCAAGGACAAATGACACTGTAGGCAACAACAAATGGCCCTTAATCTGCAAGGGACAGAGGCCGTGCAGAGAGGGGATAACCTGGTTACTGCTATTTGAGGTGCCACAGCATAGAACATGCCCACTTCAAGGGCAGAAGACTGGTTTTCTGTGACAAAGAACATAGTCAGAGTGTATGGAGCCTCTAATGCAGAGGAGGAAGCACATCCAAGTGGTGGTGGCTCCTTTATGAATTGGAGCTTTGAATCCCAGCCTCACCAGAGATAAATGCAAGATACCTGGCACTGGCTCCCTGATGGCCCTGGCTTCAGTGAGGGCTTCCTGAACAGAGGGGGGTGTCACCATTTTACCCAGGCTGAAAACACTGTTGGACATCAGAGGGCAACACAGTGGCCCCCAATGGGGGTGGAAGCCATTGACATCAAATCCTGCACCCTGGTGCTAGGTAACTGTTTTTCTTTACTGGGACAGGTGACTCAGAGCCACCTCAGCCATCCTTTCCCCAGAAGAGCACACAGACAGGACTCTACCTGAAACAAATTTACTGAGAATACAGTGCCCCATAGTATCCCCTTCAGTTCTGAAAGAAATAGGACCTGGTGGCATTTTTTTTTCATTTGTCTTACTATTTTTATTCTTTTTCCTTTGGAATTGAGCTTACAGTTTTCTGTTTGTTTTTACATTTCCTTTTCTCTCTTCTCTTTTATTATTTTTTTTTTGACTCAGGAATCTTTTTTTTTTCTTTTTCTTTGAAATCAGACTATAGTTTTTTATTATTTTTGTGTTGTGTTGGTTCCCTTTCCTTTTCTTTTTGGAGTAGGCTTCTCCCACCCACTCCCTTTTTTTCTTCTTCTTTCTTTCCTTTTATTCCAGGCATTTTTTAACAAACAAATCAAACCACACCTCAATAAAGGCCCCAAAACTCCACACTGCCAGGAAGGAGGAACTCTACAGAGGATGGACGTGTGGAAAGAGCTGTCAAAACACAACAGCAGAATTCACACAGCATACACCAAAAACACTTCCTTAAGTGCCAGGCCCTGGACACTGTATGACTTTTTTTTTAATTTAGTACTACTCCGAGGTGCAAGAAACAGAACAACCCTTAATAACATACAAAAGATAAAAAATTAGCCAAGTTGACACGATGGAGGAATTTGCCCCAAAAGAAAGGTCAGGAAGACATTATAGAGGCGGGGAAAGATGGCAGAAGAGTAGGGTCTCCAAGTCACCTGTCCCCACCATTTACCTAGATAACCTTCAAATCATCCTGAAAACCTACGAATTCGGCCTGAGATTTAAAGAGAGAACAGCTGGAATGCTACAGTGAGAAGAGTTCATGCTTCTATCATGGTAGGAAGACGGGAAAAAAGAAATAAAGAAACAAAAGGCATCCAAGGGGGAGGGGCCCCGCGAGGAGCCAGGCTAAGACCGCAGCGAGTGCACCCAGGACAGGAAAGCCCTGTCCCGGAGAAGCAGGAGCTTCAACAATCCTCCTGGATGGAAAGGCGCTCGCAGGGAGTTGGAGCAGGATCCCAGGAGGGGCGGGGATGCCCTCAGGCACCCTGGGACACTAACAGAGGACCTGCGTCCCGGGGAGAGCACACTAAACCCCGCAGCCAAGCTCCCTAAAGGGCTGCAGCGCGTGCATGGCTGGACCCGGGAGCAGCTCGGGGGCAGCTCGGGCAGAGTCTCTGGGCAGAGAGAGCTGTGCAGCCGAGACCACGATTCCAACAGCACAGGCCCAGGAGCACAGGGCGCTGGGGACACAGCCCAAGATCTGGCGCTCCCCCGGGACAGGCAGAGGCCGGGAGGGCACAGGACAGCAAGGACGCTTCTGCCTGGAGCTGAGCAAATCAGCGGCCCTGCCCCGGAGCATCTAGGCCCATGTGGACTGAGAGCTCCATATTTCCTGCAGGAGCTGACTCCAGGGCTGGAGAGCTGGTCGCTGCTACTTTTGTTTTACCTCCTGGGGCCTTACAGGATAAACAACCCCCACTGAGCTCACAGTGGCCTCAAGGGATAAACAGGTTAAACAACTTTCACTGAGCCCTGCACAAGGCAGGAGGCTGAGCAGCTCCCCCAAGTGCTAACACCTTAGAATCAGCACAGCAGGCCCCTGCCCGAGAAGACCAGCTAGAACGTCAGGGGAAAAGCAAGTTATTGACCAAGAGGCACTAGGAAGTTCTGGGGGAAGTCGAGGGATTTACAGTATATAAAATCAGAGGACACACCCCCTTGTTTTTTTTCTGTTTGCTTCTCCCCTTTTTTCTTTCCTTCTCTCTTTTTTCTTTTTTTCTTTTTCTTTTCTTCTTTCTCTTCTCTTTTTTTCTGCTTTTCCCAATACAACTTGTTTTTGGCCACTCTGCGCTGAGCAAAATGACGAGAAGAAAACCTCACCTCAAAAGAAAGAACCAGAAACAGTCATCGCTCCCATAACTCCCACAGAGTTAAAAATTTGGATTACAATTCAATGTCAGAAAGCCAATTCAGAAGCACTATTATAAAGCTACTGGTGGCTCTAGAAGAAAGCATAAAGGACTCAAGAGGCTTCATGACTGCAGAATTTAGATCTAATCAGGCAGAAATTAAAAATCAACTGAATGAGATACAATCCAAACTAGAAGTCCTAACGACGAGGGTTAATGAGGTGGAAGAACGAGTGAGTGACATAGAAGACAAGTTGATGGCAAAGAGGGAAACGGAGGAAAAAAGAGACAAACAATTAAAAAATCATGAAGATAGATTAAGGGAAATAAATGACAGCCTGAGGAAGAAAAATCTACATTTAATTGGGGTTTCTGAGGGCGCCGAAAGGGACAGAAGTCCAGAATATGTATTTGAACAAATCATAGCTGATCAAACCCTTTTTGAGCTTGGCCCCAGTAATTTCTTGCAAGATTCATACATGGAGGCAAGAGAAACAAAACCACAAATAACTATTGGGAGTTCATCAAAATAAGAAGGTTTTGCACAGCAAAAGAAAGAGTCAACAAAACTAAAAGACAACAGACAGAATGGGAAAAGATATTTGCAGATGATGTATAAGAAAAAGGGCTAGTTTCCAAGATCTACAAAGAACTTATTAAACTCAGCAGCAAAGAAACAAACAATCCAATCATGAAACTGGCCAAAGACATGAACAGAAGTCTCACAGAGGGAGACATAGACATGGCCAACAAGCACAAGAAGAAATGCTCTGGATCACTTGTCATCAGGGAAATACAAATCAAAACCACAATGAGATCCCACCTCACACCAGTGAGAATTGGGAAAATTAACAAAGCAAGAAAACACAAATTTTGGAGTGGATGTGGAGAAAGGGGAACCCTCCTGCACTGTTGGTAGGAATGTGAATTAGTGTAGCCACTCTGGAAAACAGTATGAAGGTTCCACAAAGAGTTAAAACTAGATCTGCCCTACGACCCAGCAATTGTACTGCTGGGGATTTCCCCAAAGATACAGATGCAGGGAAATGCCGGGACACATGCACTCCAATGTTTATAGCAGCAATGTCCACAAAGCCAAATTATTGAAGGAACTCATGGCTGCCGCATGGGATGAATGGATTCACCCACATTTCGACCACTCTGATGGACTACAAGATCAAGGAAGGTCACTGGGTGGCACAGTCAATGAGGCCCCTGCTTTCTGATCAGGCCATGATCTCAGGGACCTGGCTTTGAGACCTGCATTGGACTCCCAGCACACTGGGGAGCCTGCTTCGCCTTCTCCCCCTGCAGCTCACCCTGCTTATTCTCTTTCCCTCTCTCCAAGAATTTGAAAACTTCCTTAAAAGTGTTTGTAAAATATTAAATAAACCTCGGATTGGTCTTTGGATCCAGAAGGAGAACATTGATGCCTCCACAGAGCAGGTTGGGAGACGACAGGGTTTGTCGTTGGGGAGCGACTGTCAGCCCAGGATCACATAGATCTCTTGATTTCCATTGGGAGGGCTTCATGTCGGGGTGTTCCTGTGAAGAGACAAATGAGTCAAAGGGAGCCACATGTGGGTTATGTTACCTAGACCCGAACCATAACCTTAAACAAACCTTACCCGATATCGAAACCAAATGCTAACCCGATCTAGAAGAAGAACCCTAACCCAAACCTAACGCTAACCCTAACCCAAATGCTAACCCGAATCCTAACCCCACCCGGAACACGAACACTCACCCGACGCTAACCTTCCAGAACCTGAACCTGAAGCCAAAAATGAAACATAACCCTACCCATAAACCATAACCCTAATCGCTAAGCTAAACAGTAACTCTTACACTCACCCTAAACACTAACCCTAACCCTAAACATAAACCTAACCCTACACCGTAAAACTAACATCAACCTCAACCCAAATGCTAGCCCTAACCCTAAGCATAGTTCCATTTGGAACTTAGATGTGACATGCCATTGTGTTGGATATATCTTGTTGGTCAGATCCCAGTCACGAAACATCTCAGGGTGTCACAGAGATATTTATGCCACAGGTCATTATCGCTGGGAGCCATGGTGAAGGCTATGACACACAGAGCCCAGAAGGAGGCACCTCAGTCTCATTAAAAATAGAACAGGACACAATTGGACGGTTTGACAACAGATGACCATGTATGCATATTGGAGCATTCCCACCCCATCATGGTGCCCCCATTGAAATGAGGCCGGAGGTAAAGTGATCATTCTAATATTCGGTTGCTGGAACCGAGGCCACTTTCAAGTGGTACTCCAAGCCACATCTCACCTCTATATGTCAATGCACGATCCTTAAAATTGTGCCTCAGATACACAGGGCACCAGCTCACGTGCGTTGCAGATATCATTCATAGACCCCTGATGATGTCCGTAGGAAGGAGATTCTGACTCTTCTATCACTGTGCAAGTTGGGAACCTGTGGACTATATGAGAGACACGGTGGGTTAGATAGGTCACAGATCTGGGAAGGAAAGCACACAAAGAAAGGTCTGAATTCAGCCCCATCTCCAGAAAAGTAGGACCTTCCTTGCATTTTCAGAGAGTTCTGGCTATGACATTTTTGACTGCTGATGTAAAGTTAATGAGATAACGTGGGGCAAGCAGTCATCTGCCAAGAAGGGGCTCTGGATAGGTCTGACTGAAGGAAGGGGCCCAAGGGCTGGAATTTTGAAAAAGTGAGGTCACTTCCTTGGGGACAAGCATGTAGCGGATTTAGAACTCTGGTAACGAGGAAGCTGTGTTGAACAATGTCCCGTTTTCCAGCTCACTTAACTAGAGAACAAGATGTTCTGTTGCTGTTGCCCTACTTTCAGTGGCACTGGGCTTAGGAGTGTCCAGACGTTCATGTCGCTATGGACGTCAGCTCGGCCCTCTTCGCGGAAGCTTCTGTTTATGTGCGGGAGACCTCAACTGGTACTGCAAGGCACCTGGGGGAGGCCACTGGAGAGCAGGCCACACTGTAATCTCAACTGAGGGGGCTCGAACCTCTTTCATGCTCATTGTGTGTGTGTCGGTTTGTGTATGTAAGAGTGTGTGTTTGTGTGGGACTGTGTATGTGTATGTGTTTGTGTGTGTGTGTGCAGAGGGGACAGAAAAGAGGAATATGCCCTTCCTGGGCAGAAACCAGCTGCGACGGTTTGGAAGCCTGACATATCTTTGGTGTTCAGACCCCAGGTCATAGCACGCAAGATGAGAAGTTGAGTGCTGAGGGCCAAGCTCAACTTTGAGTATTTATGTCATGAACGCAAGAGTCTCTTTCATCTGGCTTCTCCTTGGCAGGTGTCTCTTCAGCTGCCCCTGTGATGTGAAGCGGAGAACACGATTTTAAAAGGGGATGTCCGCTTTGGTGTTGTGGAGGGGTACCCTAATGTCTCTTCTCCCTGTATATATGGGGCACTGTATTTGCAGAGCTGCACCCAGGAGATCTTGGAGGAGATGTTCTGTGCCTTCAGCATATCAAACTCCCTAGACAATGATTGGGTGCACAAGGCAAACAAGGAGCAGTGCTGTTCTGAGGTGAGAATGGGAATAGGGTTCTCCACAGAGAGATGGCCCCCACACAAACATGGAGAGAAACCTGGGGCCCTCCCTTAGTGTTTCCACATGACTGCTGCATAGGCCCAACCGCAGAGACCTGAACTTCCCCTCCTAAACTCCGGCAACGTTTGAGGTGATAAGACACTGCTACCCTAGGTTGGAATGGTGCAGAATAGATTTAATGTTTTTGAGGAGCAGGGGTGGTTTGCTTGTTTCAATCAGAGCAAGGAGTGTCTTTGCATTTCACTACCATTTTTCTTATTTCACCCACGTGCCCCAAATATCCTGTGTAGAACGCAGCTCCACTGTGGTTGCACAAGGTCTGCAGGCCTCAGAAAACATCACACAAAAGACGGTGATTTAAGACAAAAGGAAGAGTGGGATGAAGCCATTCTCTATGTTTATCTCTAAAGTGTCACGTGCCAGAACACATCAGATCGTTGTAGGCCAAATAGGTAATGAGCTGTGTCCTTAGAGGTCCTTGAAGTACTCCATCAATAGGGCCATCTGCCACAGTGATTCAGCAATTCAAGGCTCTGGGCACTTGACATGATGCCACTCTCTTGCCAGTCTGCACTGCTGCAAGGATCACCTTGTATGCCCCACAGACTGTTTTAGTTGATGGATCTGCCATCACCTGGAAGCCCAGTTTGGGTGGAAGCCATCTGATGTATCAAATTTCTCCCACTGGGTCCAAAGACCAATCCGAGGTTTACTTGATATTTTACAAACACATTTAAGGAAGTTTTTAAATTTTTGGAGAGAGGGAAAGAGAATCAGCAGGGTGAGCTGCAGGGGGAGAGGGCGAAGCAGGCTCCCCACTGAGCAGGGAGCCCAATGGAGGTCTCAAAGCCAGGTCCCTGGGATCATGGCCTGACCTGAACGCAGGGGCCTCACTGACTGAGCCACGCAGTGCCCTTCCTTGATCTTATCGTCCATCCGAGTGGTCGAAATGTGGGTGGATCCATTCATCCCATGTGGCGGCCTTGAACATGTCGCATCTAACCAACTGTGGACATGCGTGCCTACGACAGGTCGAGTGATTGACTGTGTGACACTCTGATTAGACTTGAGACCGAGACATTGTATCTACTGTATTCTTTCAATGATCTTAGTGCTTAGAAATGTGTCTGCAATCCAAGGCACTTTATCTCTCTTCTTGGAGAAAGGAATTCCAACCAGCACTTTCTGTCTACTGAGGGGACCATGAGCTGCTCTGTCTTCCCCAGTGACCTCTGCTCTGGACACATGAAGGACAAGGAGAAGGGCCAGTTAGATGGAATCCCAGAAGTCTTTTGGAAACAGGAAAACAGCCTGCTTTCCACGTGCTTCTGTACACCCAGGGTGCCACAGGTCCATGAGGCTTGATCTGGAGAGCTTCTTCGCTGGGGAGAGACAGCTGCTCCACAGGAAGATGCCCAGCAGCCCTTTCAACAGGGCTAGGCAGCAGAGAATTCTAGGCCATGTTTTCTGCCAGGATTGTCCACAGTAGCCCCATGAGGTTCATTGTCTTCCACAGCCCTTCTCAGAGGAGGAAAAGGAAGCTCAGAGAGGAGCAGTGACATTGCCAAAACATACCGGTAGTAGAGGTGAGCCTCAAGGCCTCTGCTGTGTATAGGGTGGTCACTCACCTGTGGAACTGGTGGCCCAGGACCCTTTGGGCTGTGCTGAACACCTGGTAGACACGGAAAACAACTGCGTTTTCTGAGAGGCTCCTCTCCTGGAAGGATCGCAGCAGGGACTGTACAAAAGTATCCATTCTGCCTTCCTGGGGCGTCCACATGGTCCAGGCCTCACCCGGGGTGAGGGTGGATGATTCCTTTCCACACCAGAGACACAAGGAGGGGCACTGTAGTCAGCTTCCAAACCACAAGCCACTGGGAAGAACAGGGTCTGGCGCTCAGCCCAGAGACATCCATCCCCTTGGGAAGTTTTGCAGGACAAAGGACTTCAGGGCCCACACAGAAAAAGGTTCTAGGCTTCAAAATACCACTGGTTTCGTTGAGACGCAGGGCAGAGCATTGACAACTTCAACACATTCCAGTAGCTGAGCAACACCCGCATTTCTCTCAATTCAGATCTTTTACAAAGACCAGTATTCCATGGAGTCATCCGTATACATCCCACTGCAGATAGAACACAGTGGGTTAGCACCTCAAATGCTGCTCAAGATCCCACAGATTGGGCCTGAGAAGAGACCAAAGCATGGGCTGCATGGCTTTTCTCCTACGCCTATGTACCTTCATCTGTACCTGACCTAGGGAGGAAGGATCAGGGGAGAGCACCTTCTTTGCAGGCCCCAGGGGAGCCAGCTGTTTCTAGTCTGGGCTCTTGGCTTGCCCTGATCATCTGTGGGTCCTGACTTTCACCATGAATGGGACTTGTTCTCAGCCCACACCAGCCATACTTGTAGTCGGTGGCCTAATGCACCTGTGCTTCTCGGGGGTAGATGGAGTAATTGAACCCCTGGAGCAACTCATCCAAGATTTCCTGTGTGGATCTCTACAAGAAAGACAGAGCCAGCTACTTGGGTCAGGAGGCATCAAAGGGCTTCCACCCAAACTGGGCTTCCAGGTTATGGCAGATCAAGCAACTTAAACAGTCTGTGGGGACACACAAGGTGCTCCTTGCAGCACGGCAGACATGGCAAGAGAATGGCATCATGTCATGTACCAAGGGCCTTGCATGGCTGAATCACTGTGGCAGAAGGCCCCATTGATGGAATACTACGAGGACCTCTAAGGACACACCTCAAGACCCGTGGGGCCTACAATGATCTGATGTGTTCTGGCACATGACACCTTAGAGATAAACATAGAGTATGGCTTCATCCCACCCTTCCTTTTGTCTTAAATCACCCTCTTTAGTGTGATCTTTTGTGAGGCCTGCAGATGTTGTGCAACGACAGTGGAGCTGTGTTCTACACAGGATACCCAGGGCATGTGGGTGAAATCAGGAAAATGGTAGTGAAACGCAAAGACACTCAGTGCTCTGAGTGAAAAAAACAAACCACCCCCACTCTTCTAAAGCATGAAATCGATTCTGCACCATTCCAACCTAGGGTAGCAGTGTCTTATCACCTCAGACGTAGCCAGAGGTTAGGGGTGGAGGTTCAGGTATCTTTGGTCGCAGCATTCACCATGTCTTCCAGTGATAAAGACCTGTGGCATAAATATCCCTGTGTCACCCCGAGGTGCTTTGTGAATGGTTCCTGACCAACACAATACATCCAACTCAATGACATGTCACATCTAATTTCCAAATGATCTATGCTTAAGGTTAGGTTTAGGCCTGAGGGTTAAGGTTAGGGTTAGGCTTCAGGATTAGGGTTAGGGTTAGGCTAAGGGTTAGGGTTAGGTTTATGGGTTAAGGTTAGGGATAGAGTTAGTCTTCAGTGTTAGGGATAAGGTAAGAGGTTATGGTGAGGGTTAGGGTTCGGCCTCAGGGTTAGGGTTAGGGTTAGGGTTAGGCCTCAGGGTTAGGGGTTAGGGTTAGTCCTCAGGGTTAGGGTTAGGGTTAGGCTGAGGGGTTAGGGTTAGGGTTAGGCCTCAGGTAAGGGTTAAGGTTAGGCCGAGGGTTTAGGGGTTAGGCCTAGGGATTAGGGTTAGGGTTAGGCCTGGGTCAGTGTTAGGGTTATGCCAAAGTGTTAGGGCTTAGGTTTAGGCCTCAGGGTTAGGCCTCAGGGTTAGGGTTAGGGTTACGCCTCAGGGCTACACTCAGGGTTAGTCCTCAGGGTTAGGCCTCAGGGTTAGTTTTAGGCCTCAGGGTTAGGCTTAGGTTTAGGCCTCAGGGTTAGTGTTAGGGTTAGGCCTCAGGGTTAGGGTTAGGTTTAGGCCTCAGGGTTAGGGTTAGGTTTAGGCCTCAGGGTTAGTGTTAGATTTAGGCCTGAGGGTTAGGCCTAGTGGTTAGCCCTAAGTGTTTGGGGTTAGGGTTAGACTTAGTGTCAGGTTCAGGGTAAGGGTCAGGGTCAGGGTAGGTTCAGGGTTAGGGTCGGAGTCAGGGTTACAGTCAGGTTTAGGGTTAGGGTCACAGTTAGGGTTAGGATTAGGGTCAGGGTCAGGGTCAGTGTCATGTCAGGGTTAGGGTTAGGTTTAGGCCTCAGAGTTAGGCCTCAAGGTTAGGCCTCAGGTTTAGGCCTCAGGGTTAGGTTTAGGCATCAGAAATGGCCTCAGGTTTACCCTCAGGGTTGGTTTAGGCCTCAGGGTTATGGTTAGGGTTAGGCCTCAGGGATAGGGTTTAGGTTTAGGCCTCAGTGTTAGGCCTAGGCATTCGGCCTCAGGGGTAGTGGCTAGGGTTAGGGTTAGGCCTCAGGGTTTGATTTACGGCTAGGGTTAGGCCTCAGCATTAGGGTAAGAGTTAGGGCTAGGTTTAAGTTTATGGTCAGGGTTAGGGTCAGGGACAGGGTTAGGGTTAGAGTTATGGTTACAGTTACTCTTCAGGGTTAGGGTTACGGTAAGGGGTTAGGGTTAGGGTAAGATTTAGGCTTCATGGTTAGAGTTAGGGTAAGGGGTTAGGGTTAGGGTTAGGGATCAGGCCTCAGGGTAAGGGTTAGGGTAAGGCTTCAGTCTTAGGGGTTAGGGTAGGCCTCAGGGTTAGGGTTAGGGGTTA